CACTGGTTGGGGGCAACGTTGTGCACACTGCTTTGTTCAGTTACTACATACTGAGTGCCTCCTGTGTGCCTGGCCCCCTGGTGTGCAGCTGTGAAGGAAACCAAGAACCTTGTCCTTAAGTAGTGGATGTTTTAGTGAGGGAGACAGACAAGACACAGGGTAAATAAGAAATTGATATGGTCTGTTTGAAATGGATATGGTCTATTTGTTGAGGGTTTTGGAGACAAATGAAATGCGGAAGACAGATGAGGGAAGTAGATGGGATGAGCACTGTGATTTTAGACTTGAGAAGGTGACATTGGATTGCTAAGAAGATGAGAGAGGGAGCCATGCAGTAATCTGGAGGAAGAGTGCTCCAGGAAGAGGGAATCATTGGAGTCTGGTTCTGATGAGGAGACCTGTGGCTAAAGCCACAGAATGATGCAGGGGACAGTGGGAGGAGGGGAGGACCAAGAGATGACAGGGCAAACTTGCAGGCCCTTGTGGGTGGTGGGGAGGTCTTGGGATTTTGCTGTGAGTGAGTTAAGAGCCCTGGAAGGTTCTGAGCAGAGGAGGAACGTGACCTGCCTCAGGCATTCACAGGTGCACTCTGGCCACTGGGGTGGAAACACACTGTGGGGACTGAGGATGGAAGGTGAGTGAATTCTAAACCTTACCACTGCCCACTAAGACAGGCTTTGTCCTACTTATCTATTAGACTATGGTCCAAAAGAACAAACCTCTTGCCCAAAGACACCCATCCAATCAGTGGTGGCCACTAGATTTGAACCTGTCTACGTGACTGACTCAGGGCCATTTGGTAAATAAGCATATATTGTGTACCGTAGGCACCCAGTGATATCAAGGGCATAAAACCCTGAGGTTTAGGGGACATGGCATGGAGGGCTTTCTCTGTTTCTGACAATACCCCTGCAGTAGGAGGATGAGTGCAGGAAGTCACTCCACAAACATTTATTGAGCACCTACTGTATGCCAGGTATTATGCTGGATGCCGGAGGCTACAACAGGGAACAAGATAGAAGAAAATTCCTCTCCTGAGGGGATTGACACTCCAATGAAGAAACTAGACAAAAAGCATTTAAAGATCAGGAGATTATATAGGATTCTAGAAGATAAACACTATGGGGGAGTCAGAGGTGGAGGCTGAGATCTTAAATAGGGTAGTTCCAGAAGGCTTCTCTGAGGAGGTAATATTTGAGTAGAGAATCAGAGGAAATGTGGGAGTGAATGATGAAGAACTCTGGGGAAAGTAGGTTACAGGCAGAGGTTTAGCAGTACAAAGGTAGACCTGTTGGTAAGACAATAGGCAAAGCATGTGGGGTCAGAAAGATACAACTATTTTCCTGCCCCCAACTCTCTCTCTTTTCCAGGCCCTTTCAACTGCTCTTCTCTGGGTTAGTAACACATTTTCTTCTCCCTATAAACTCCTGCTGGACCCTCAAGCCTTAGTTCTCAGGTTACAGACTCAAGAAAATTCCTTCTGCTGTTCCTTATCCTCCCCACCACCATTGTTGTTAAGTTTGTTGGGACTCAGACTCATAGTGAGGGTTTCTGTGGAATGGCTGGTGAGTTTCAATCACTGACTTTGCAGTTCAAATCAACCTTGCAGTCCACTGCTTATCCTACAGTGCCACACCAGGACCACCGCCATTTTGTTGTTGTTGTTATGTGCCATGGAGTCGGTTCCAACTCACAGAGACCCTGTACAGGGTTTCTGAGGCTGCAAATCTTTACGGGAGCAGCAGAAAGCCTCATCTTTCTCCCGTGGAACAGCTGGTAGTTTTGAACTGCTGACCCTGCGGTTCGCAGCCCCATTCATAACCACTCTGCTACCAGAGCTCCTAAGGACCACCGCCTTTAGGCTTCCATAGCCCTGTAGCTCTCCGCCATTCTGACCCCTTAGCCTCCTGCACTGGACCATGAAGATCTCAAGGGTCTGGATGTACTAGTGTCCCTGGGGTACACCGTAGGTGCCTAATAAATCAGCTAATAATAAATTTTGTCTTACAGTAGGCAAAATAGTGCTGTCCCATTTGTTTACCACATAAAATCTAAACTTCCTGGCACAGGACAGACATGCAAATCTGCTTCTGAAATCATAAACCGGTTCTGAGTGATGACACACAGCTGGTTATGACACACAGTGGTGGCTCTTGGACAGGGGGCTCCGGGGACAAAGGACAAGGATTTAGGGAGACTAACTTTCATGCTATTTAGCCTTTTGACGCTTTTGGAGTGTTCTTTACAAGGTGTGTGTGAGTTACTTCTGAAACAAAAAAGGAATAAACAAAATTCTACCAAAAAAAAAAAAGGTTAAATTCCAAAGTATATGGAGTTTTATAATACACCCAGTTATTTTTGCCACAATAGAATACATAATGAAATACACTTTTTATTCATTTGTTGTTGTTGTTAAGTGCCGTCGAGTCGGGTCTGACCCATAGCGACCCTGTACAGGGTTTCCGAGGGTGTAAATCTTTACGGGAGTAGAAAGCCTTATCTTTCTCCCGTGGAGCGGCTGGTAGTTTCGAACTACTGACCTTAAGGTTCGCAGCCCAATTCATAACCACTACGCTACCAGAGCTCCAAAGTATATGGAGTTTTATAATACACCCAGTTATTTTTGCCACAATAGAATACATAATGAAATACACTTTTTATTCATACTTCACAGAAATGCAGGTAAGAAGTTATATATCATGTGTAAAAATTAAATAACAAAAAGTACCTCCTTAACATAGTATTCAAATCTTCCAGGGCTCACCCACCACCCTGCCTTGGGTTTTGCCTTTGACAATAGAACCTCCTTTCAGTAGTAATAATAATTGTTGGTTCCAACTCAGAGAGAGGCTATGTGTTGTTGTTGTTAAGTGCTGTTGAGTCGGTTCCAACTCATAGCAAGCCTGTAGAGAGTTTCTAAGGGTTTGAAATGCTGACCTTATGGTTAGCAGCCCAGTGTTTATCCTTGTCCTGCAGCGCCACACCAGTGACCCTATGCACAGCAGAACAAAAGCTGCCGCATCCTGGGTCATCCTCAGAGTCTGCGCTGTTTGAACCCATTGTTTCAACCACTGTTTCAATTCATCTCATTGAGGGTCTCGCTCTTGCTCGCTGACTTTCTATCAAGCATGATGTCCTAGTCTCACCGTCTAAGAAGCATCTTGGCTACACTTATTAAACTTGCTCCATGTGCCAGGCATGGTTATGCTATGCCTCCATCATTTAATGAAGTTTCATAACTTCCTCATATCTCAACTGAGGAACCTGAGGCCGGCTGGCAAACTGGTGGTCCGTCAGACATTGCCCACTGCCAAGTTTGCCACCTGGAACAGCCCAGAGGCTGATCTAGGCTCATGGTGCCCCCTGTAGGTCAGACTGGGGCCCAAAAAATTACAAATACAAATCAGTATTTGGTTTTCTCCTAATTTGGTGTTTAGAATCCCGCTGCGAACCGCAAGGTCAGCAGTTCGAAACTACCAGCTGTTCTGCGGGAGAAAGATGACGCTTTCTGCTCCCGTAAAGATTTACAGCCTCGGAAACTCTGTACAGAGTCGCTATGAGTAGTAGCCGACTCCATGGCACACAACCACCACCACCACTTAATTTGGGAGCGAAATGTCCAGGATCTGCGGACTTCATACTTTATCCAGTTTTCGGAGAGTCCTGAGTAGGGGGGACACGGACCTAATCTGACGGGTTTGAGTGGGACATAGTCGTGCTCACGGGCATCAGAGCGGAGAGACCCGAGTGTACTTGCCCTAAAGGGTCGGGGTGTGGGTGGGGAAGGAACACAAATACAGCCTTACCCTGGGGTCTGAGGGTTACAGGGACTTGCCCTGAGTAGAGAGGAAATAACCCGGCCTTTGTGCTTGGGAGGCATTTGTCCAGCTTGCCTTAGAGCGTCTGAAGGAGGAGCCATTTCCCCGTTCTAGAGCGCTCCAGACCGGCCAGAAAAGAGCATTATCCATAATGAACTCCTTTGCAGTTCATACTGGACGCCTGGCATGGCGCTGTAGGATCAGTACTGGACTGCGGACCACAAGATCGGCAGTTCAAGCCTACCAGCTGCTCCTCAGAAACCGTATACAGGGTCACTATGAGTCGGCCTTCACTTAATAAGAAGTAGGGCATCCTAAACCCGACGAGTGGAGCTGCTAACCAAAAGGGCGCTGGCGATTTGTATCCACCAGCGGCACTGCGGGAGAAAAATGGAGCAGTTACATCCATAGAAGTTTACAACCTTGAGAACCCTATAGGGCAATTCTACCCTGCCCTATAGGGTCGCATGACTCGGAACCGACAGGAACGGTATGGGTTTGGGTTTTGTTCTGTTTTAGTCCCAGGACTTTATAAGGTCTTTTACTTTAAAAAAAAAAACCCACCAAATTGGATGCACCTGGGAAGTTGCGTGGAGGCGGGGCCCGAAAGGCGTGACCAACAGCAAAAGCGTGCCAGTTATTGGCTGTATTCACTTAGGTGCCCGCCTCCGAACCGCCCAGTCGTGGGCGGATCACTCCGCCAGACTTAACGCTCATTGGCTGGGTAAGCAGCAAGGAGCCCAAGAGGTCTCATTGACTGGATTCCTCCCCAGTGGTCGGGGCGAGGCCTACAGAGGGCGGGGGCGAGGCCTACAGAGGGGGGGGGGCGAGGCCTACAGAGGGGGGGGCGAGGCCTACAGAGGGGGGGGGCGAGGCCTACAGAGGGGGTGGGGGCGAGGCCTACAGAGGGGGGGGCGAGGCCTACAGAGGGGCTTCTTGCTTTGGGGTCGTAATCCTGGGTTTCGCAGACTGTTCTTCATCCTCGGCAAGTGAAAACTGGCGTCTAGGGAGTAGTCCTGGGACAGAGGTGGGGTCGCGCTAGATCGGACTTCGTTGTCCTCGCTCCCGCGCGACCAACACCGAAGCCTAGCAGGAGGACCGCGTCGCGTACGTGACGTCATTGCGGGGCGTCGCGCGGGCCGGGAGGAAACCCGACCTTTAGGCGCAGGGAGCTGCATAGCTATGCTGCAGTTAGTCCGAGCCGCGTTGCGGCCATGGGCTCTGCCCGCTGGCTGCCGGGTGAGGCAGGGAACCAGGGGTGGACCACAGGGCAAAGATCGGGGGGCTTGGGGGACACTGCTCACTCTCGCGCACCGCTTACAGGGCCTGAGCTCGCTTGCGGAAGAGACAGCGTCACTGGCAGTGGAGCCGGAGCCGATGGCAATCGCAGGTGAGGCTGCCTGGGTCGTCCGAGAATGGGGAGTGCAGGCCTTTGACCCTCACCCCGACCTTCCAATCTCTCTAGGTCTCCCAGCGCCTGTGCTGCGCAAGTGCGAGCTTCCAGTGCGGACGCACAAGCGTCCGATGCAAGCCTGGGTGGAGTCCCTACGGGGTTTCGATCAGGAGCACGTGGGTCTGGCTGAGTTGCACCCCGATGTCTTCGCCACAGAGCCCAGGTGAGCACTCACTAGGTGCGGAGGCTGTAATGATGAACTGGGTACCAGGGAAATGATGAGTTCAGGAATCAAGATGACCCGGACACTTGGGAAAGTACTCAGTCCCTCAAAAAAGGATGATGGTGTTCCTGCCCCAGAGTTTTGGTGAGGTTGAGGGTTTAGAGGTGCCGTGGCCAAGGACACAGAATTCTTGTTACATGAGTTAATTCTAGCGCACAGAATCTATAGAAAGGTAGATTATTGTTGCTGTTGTATTTCTCTGTCACTTTATTATATATATAAATAAATGAGGTGAGTTAAACTATTTGGACTCAACTGCTAATATAAAGGTTGGTAGATTGAACCCTCACAGTGAAAGAATAGGCCTGGAGCTCTGCTTTCATTAAGATTACAGCCAAGAGAACCCTATGAAGCAGTTCTACTCTCTTTAACACATGGAATGGCCAACAGTAGGAATCAACGGATGGCAGCTAATAGCAATGACTGAGTCCTTACTGTGTGCCTGTTGTGTGCCATGGAGTCGTTGTGACTCATAGCCACCCTACAGAACAGAATAGACTTTCTCCCTAGGGTTTCTAAGGCTGTAATCTTTAGGGAAGCAGACTGCTACATCTGCCCTCTGTTGGGCGACTGGTGGGTTTTAACAGCAGGCCTTTTGGTGAGCAGTAGAGCACTTTATTCCTTTGTTCACTTTCTTCCTTCTGTATGTCTCTAACTCAGTTCTGACTCTGAGCAACCCTGTAAGACTGAATGTTTCAGCCCCAAAGTGTTTCCAAGGCTGTAAATCTTTACAGAAGCCGACTGCCACATCATTCACCTGCAGGGCAGCTAGTTGGGCTTGAACCACTGACCTTGCAATGAGCGGTTATTGGTGGTTATGTGCAGTGGAATCTGTTCTGACTCAGAGGGACCCTGTATATGGTGGTTTCTGATGCTGTAAATCTTTATGGGAACAGAAAGCCTCCTCTTTTTCCCTGGAGTGAGCGGCGAGTGCATAACCACTCAATCACCAAGTCTATGCACCTATGACAGCCTACTGTGGGTCCTCATCGAAGGGATTCTTTTATCTTTATTTTGTACATAAAGCAACAGAGGTACACAGATGAAGTCACTTGCACAAGGTCACACAGTTTGTAAGCAATGGAACCATTATCTCAGTGTATGCAAGTAACTCCAGGGCCAAACTCACGTGCACTCGATTCTCATCTGGCACCCAATTGTTTGTTGTTAAGTGCCGTCCAACTCTGTGTAGGGTTTCCAAGGCTATAAGTATTTACAGGAGCAGAAAGCCTCATCTTTTCCCTTGTGGTTGGCTGTCCAGTGCTTATCCTACGGAGCCACCCTACTCGCTTGGCACCTAAGAACTATTGAATTTTTACTATTATTGCTAGTATATGGGTTTGGTTCCCATCTTAACAGAGTTCCAGTCTAAGGTTGTAGCTTTTGGCCTTTGACTCATGGTGACCCCAAGCACAATGGAATGGAATGCTACTTGGCTCTGTGCCATCCCCATGATCGTTTGCAGACTGGACTGATGTGATCCATGAGGTTTTCAGTGGCTGATTCTCAGAAGTTCATTGCCAGGCCTTTCTTCCTAAGCTGTCTTAGTGAGGAAGCGCCACTGAGACCTGTTCAGCATCACAGCAACACACAGGCTTCCACTGACACCCGGGTGGGAGTTACACATGAGGTACATTGGGTGGAATTGAACCTGGGTCTCCCACATGGAAGGCAAGAATTTGACCACTGGCCCCATGCTTCCTTCTAATCTGAGAATGTTTTTTGTTGATTTGGGAAATATTTACAAAGCACCCCCTATGTACCAGGTCCTGTTCTAGGTTTGGGTAAATACAGCCGTGAACAAGCATCAGTGTTGCTCATGTTGCTTGCCATCTTGAGCAGGGGTCAGCAAACAAAAGAGGGAGTCCCCCACTGAGATGGACTGGCACAGTGGCAGCAGCAGTGGGCTCAAGCGTAGTAGCAATTGAGAGGATGGAGCCGGATGGGCAGTGTTTCTTTCTGCTGTACGTAGGGTCCCTACTGGTCGGAACCAACTCAACAGCAACAAGAAATATTTTGGGCTTTGCAGACTGTGATATCACTGTCACAACTACTCATCTCTGCCGCCAGTTCAAGACCAGCCATGGGAACAGGCAACCTGCTGCCATCCGGCCAGAGACAGTGAATACATAATGAACACGACACGCTTGACTTTATCCAGCCAATAAAACCTTGTAAATATAACTTGATTTACAATAACAGTCAGTCAGCTGGATTGGCCAACCCCTCGCCAGTGACCCTGGTGGTGGTGTTGTGAAGTGCCGTCAAGTCAATTCCAACCCATAGCGACCCTGTATAGGGTTTCCAGGGAGCAGCTGGAGAGCTTGAACCGCCGACCTTGCAGTTCAAATGGCTTTGCAGTCTGGCGCATTAACCCACAGCGCCACATAATGACTCTGGTAGCCGTGTCTAATGCCACTGCGTAAGGTGGGTCACCTGTATGGTTGTAAACTGTGTAGAAGCCACATTTTAAAAGCAGAAAGAAACAAGTGGGATTAGCTTCCATTCCATAGTCTTGTCTTAGGCTGAATGAAATGTGTATGTATGTGTGTGTGTGTATAAAATGAGAAGTTTATATCAAAGAAATGGCTCATAATTGTAGAGGTGGGAGAGTCACAAATCCAGGCAGGCAGGGAGGCTACTGATGGCTCTCAGGATGGTCAGGTAACAGAGCAGGCCACTGACTCAAGTCCGAAGAACCAGAGGTCAGAGGATGAACCAGATGCAAGTTCCAGACTTTGCCTGAGTGTCTAATGTACTGGAAGCAGGCCACGCCCCCAAGGAAACAGCCTTTGACTTGATTGGCTCTTCACAGCAGAAGTTACCCTGTAGTGAGTTGCTTTGTGTTAGATCTCACTGTAGGGCTAACTACATCTGAACTGCCAACCCACTGAGAATCCTGGTCTGGTCCAGTTGACATGAGACCTTAACTATCACAAATCTATTTGACTCAGTAGATCTCAAATACGAGGAGGTTTCAAAAAGTGGTTGGACGAATTTTATTACCTTTAATACCATTTTGTCATGAACTATGTGAAGTCCACTGGCATTGTCATTTAATACGTGGCACAGACTGCTTCTCAGGTATTCATTAGCCATGGGTGGCCAGTGTCTACCGTGTTGGGCAGCACAGAACAAGAGAGTTAAAATCAGTCTGTAAGGAAGGTGACAATAAGTTGGTTGTAATGGCAGGGAAGGAAAAAGGTCCTATGAGACGGAGGGAGGGAAACTTTTCCAAGAGATGCTGTTGGAGCTGAAATCTGTCAGCTGAGAAGGGACCAGTCAGGAGAAGAGTGTTCCAGGCAAGTGTAAAAGCCCTGTGGCTGGACCCCATCTCACATAGAGTCCAGGCTGGCTGGCAGTGGTAGGAGATGGGGCCATAGAGGGCCAAGAGCAGGTCACATAGGCCCCCCCAGGGGGTGCAGGGAAGAGCCTGGGTTTCCTCCAGTGGGTGGAAAAGCCGTGGGACTCAGAAGGGGACCTGCCTCTCAATCTCCTTCCTTCCTTCCTTCCTTCCCCACAGGTTGGACATCCTGCACCAGGTCTCCGTCTGGCAGAGGAACTTCAAGCGAATCGTGAGTGCCCACCTGGGGCGAGGGGGGAGGCGGGCACTTTGCAGGGTAGAGGGGACAGGAGGCACTGGCAGTCCCGTGGTTACCTTCTCAGCTATGCAAAGCCAAACCCATGAATCACGGCCAGGTACTTCCTGAGTGCTCACCACACTGGACCTTGTGCTAGGTGAGAGGGTGAGCCCGGGAGGGCCCTGACCTGCAGCTAGTGGCAGACATGACCAGGAATCAAGTCGTTATGCCTGTAAAGCTGAGCGTCCCAGCTCCCAGGGGACTTGCCACCAGCAGCTGCTTGATGACCTTGGCCTGCGAATGTGACTAGTTCCTTGCTTTACGTTTACAGAGCTATGCTAAGACCAAGACGAGGGCTGAGGTGCAGGGTGGTGGCCGGAAGCCCTGGAAGCAGAAAGGCAGTGGGCGGGCCCGGCACGGCAGTATCCGTTCCCCGATTTGGCGTGGAGGTAAGCAGGCAGGGCAGGGAGGGAGTCCCCAGTACCCTGTCAGCCTGTTTCTCCCTCTCATCAGGTCCCACACCCCCACAGCATACTGCTTCCCCTGCCACAGCTCAGGCCTTGGCCTCTCTGGACCCCTGCACACATCTCTCTCAGGCCATCCTTCACACACAGCTGGAGGGATCTTCCTGAGCGTCCCTGCTCCCTGTGGTCTCTGTGAAATCTGAATTTGCCTTGTCACTCGAAGCCCAGGAGCTGTAGGTGGCACATCCTCTCTGACAGGATGGAACTGACTAGCCAACTCCTCTCATCCTTCAGGTGTCTGTCTGGGACACACCTCCTCCAGGAAGCCTTCCTCTGGGCCCTCCACGGCCTTGGTTCCTGCTGCAGTCCTGCCAGAGGACGAACAGTGTGAGGATAGGGGTCGTGACTTTTTGGTCTTGCTGCCCTCCTGGGCCCAGCAGAGTATGGACACACCAGCAGATGGTCCTCACCAGGGCGTCTCACCCAATACTTGGGCATCTCCCCTGATGCCAGTGCACCCAAGACACACTGGGCTCTTGTGGCCCAGATACCTGTCTCCTCTCTAGACCTGGAAGGTCTTAATAATTTAATGATTAAGTTCATGCTGTTTTACACGTTCCATGCCGTAACACGTTGTGTCCTATGTAGTAGGAACCATTAGAGCTCAGGGTTTGACAGTTGGGGAAACTGAGGCCCAGGGAGGTGACGTTATCTGACCCAGTGGTCTCGCCTTGAGGCCCAGGCTCCTCCCAGTCTTCTGTCCCACCCCGCTGTGGCCTGGCCTGCTCACACACCTCTGTCCCCACAGGAGGCATTGCTCACGGCCCCCGGGGCCCCACGAGTTACTACTACATGTTGCCCATGAAAGTGCGGGTGCTGGGCCTCAAGGTGGCGCTGACTGTCAAGCTGGCCCAGGTACAGCCTGTGCCCCAATTCTACTGGGACCCACGGGCCCTGGAACTAGGGGGTGGGATATCAGACCATCTTGTCCTTCCCTCCTGCCAGGATAACCTTCACATTGTGGACTCCCTGGAGCTGCCAACACCAGACCCCCAGTACCTGACAGAGCTGGCCCAGTACCGCCGCTGGGGACACTCTGTCCTCCTTGTGGACTTGTGAGAGCACAGGACGGGGTGGGGGGTGGGGGTGCGGGGCCGGGGGAGCGCCATTTCCTGCAGGAATCACCCCTGACCTCTGTTACAGGTTGCATGAGGAGATGCCACAGAATGTGGTGTTGGCTACCTCTGGGCTAAAGACCTTCAGCCTGATCCCAGCTGTAGGTGAGCTGCCCCCCATCCCCGGGACCCACTTGGGGCTGAGTGGTCTTGGGCAATGACCCCGCAGCCCCAGCCCTCAGCTTTCCCTCAGGGACCCTCAGGAGTGTCTGTGTTAAGAGATGCTTTGAGGATGCCACCAGGTGGCGCCTGTGAAAGTTCCTGTCTTGGTGCTGAGCTCCCTCGCTCTGGTGGAGCCGGCCGGGCCCTGGCGGACAGGCTGTTCTGCACAAGTCACACCTGGCCCTGGTTTGACCTGTCCCAGACATCTCTCTCTCTCTCTTGGATTTGCTGCCCTGTGGGTCCAGCTGCCTCATGGATAGCTGCAGGCAGGAGTGACAGGCCTCTCAGACACATGTATCTTCCTCAACCACCCTCATCTTAGCACACACCCCTTGTTCTGTCCAGTGGCTCAGGTCCTCATGACTCCTCACCTTTACCCTGTCTGTTAGGGCTGCCTCTTCCGACCACCCTACTCCCGCCCCGACTGTCTCCTACCTGAAGCAGCCAACACTCCTCCCTGGTCCCTCAGTTCCTTCTCTACCCTGTGGTCTGTCCTCCTGCCAGTGGCCAGAGGCTGCTCTGAACCAGAGTCCCTCCACTACTCACAACCCCCTGGGCTCCCCACCTCACTCAGAATAAGACAGCTTCTTCCTGACTTGTGGGGACCCCGCATCACCCTGTCCACTCCCACTCTGCCCCTTCTCTGCCCTCCGCCTGCCACGCCGGCCTCTCAGCTGTGGTGGTCGCTTGCTGTATTTGTCGTCTGTCTCCTCCGACAAAGGGCAGTGATTGCAGCTAAGTTCAGTAGATGCTGGAAGGCCGGGGTAGGGGGCGCTCTCAGCCAGCTCACAGTTAATGAGTTAGGGACAGGGTTTAAACCCTGGCTGTAGGGCTTGAGGAGTCCTGGTGAGGTGTGCTGTGGGTTAATGCGCTAGACTGCAAGGTTGGTGGTTCAAGCTCACCAGCCTCTCCTTGGAAACCCTATACAGGGTCGCTGTGGAACAGAACTGACTTACAGCATTTAACAACATAGGGCTTGAACCCATACTTTTAACTGCTAGGCAGGAGGGGTGCTTTCCTGGGCTGGGTCGGGGGTGGAGTAGGAAGCACCCACCATACCCTTGACCTCATGTGGTCCCACTCCCCCAGGCCTGAATGTCTACAGCATGCTCAAACACCAGACCCTGATCCTGACGCTGCGTACCGTGGACTTCCTGGAGGAGAAGCTGCTCTGGCATGATTCCCGCTACACACCTCTCTACCCCTTCCGCCTGCCCTACCGCGACTTCCCCTGAGCCTGTCCTGCCCAGCCGGGGCCGACAGCTGCCCTCCTCCTGCACTGCCCATGCCAGGCCCAGGCAGTCCTAGCAGATGGAGTCTGCTCGGGACCCCCTCAACCTGGTTAGGAAACTGAGGTCTGGAGCCGCCTGAGCTGGCGCCACCATCAGGACAGACCGGCTCCCCGGAGAGCCCCAATGAGCTCCTGCCCATCTCCTTAAAAAAAAAATCAATCTCTTAATCAGAGTTAGGAAAAGGAAAGTGGCTTGTTGCCATTTTGCTACTTGTGAATCATCGCATTTGGTGGGTTGGGTTCGTTTTCTGACCGTCAAGGGCTTTGCAGGCGCATTGAAGAGTGCTGTCAGGGCTACTTAGAGAAATTGCCCAGAATGAACTCCCACTGGTGAGTCACTGGCTCAGGCGCACACAAGAGGAGCCTGGGCACCAAGTGTTCCTAGGAACTGACACCTGGCATATACCCTAAGCACGGTCATCCTACACATTCATCCCAGAGTGTGCTGGCTTGATGCCATGGAACACCGATTCGCAGAACTGGGATTTTATCCTCCTAACAGAAAAGCACGTGGGACCCAATAAATGAGCTAATAAACACATTTCTCAAATACCTAATCCAGTAGCCTCATTTTTTCTGTCTGCTGCTGTTTGCTCCCTAGTTATTTAAAAAAAAAAAATCATTACACAGACTATAATATAACACAGTCAACATAAAGAAGGTCACCATTATGACCCTTCTGGGTGTGCAGGCATGACTGGACCGGGTGGCCACAGTGACATCCTGTCTGCTGGGCTCCCCTTTGCCGGAAACATCTCTGTGATGCCTTGCAGAATACTCCCAGAGCTTATACACATTCTTGGAAATCCTAGGTGGACGTGTATCCATAAAGCATTGCATTTAATGAAGTGGGAAAAAAAAGCTATTTAGAGCCAAGCAAACAATGAAAGGCTGAGGAGGCCAGGCAGGGCTATTACCCTGTAGGGGTGCCTCTTGCACAGCCCCTGGAACCTCCAAAACCTAGAGTGAGACTTGGCCTTTGTCCAGACAGCTCAAAGCCCAGCTGAGGTGACCAAGACACTCATAACCAGAGTCTTCAACAAGAAACATGAGAGACCAGCCCCTGCCTTCACTGGTTTGGGAAGGAAATGGTCTAGAACCTGATGCTCCATGAGGGAAACCCCCACCAGATCAAGGATGTATAAAGGGCATCCAGAAACGTGATAACTGTCTAGAATTGGACCAGATCTAGGAGTCTGCATGGTGAATATAGTTAACATGCTTGACTGTTTATCAATAGATTGGAGGTTCAAGTCAAGCCAGAGGCATCACTACCCAGATCAAATACAAGGGGACTTCAAAAAGCTCATGGAGAAATTAAATGGCTTGGGGTTTGTTTGTTTTTTTAATTTTTCTTGTGAATTGAGTGGTAGATTTCATAGGAGAGCATTGGTTTTATATTCATCGTTTCATTGCAATGATTACAATCTCTGCATCATCATTCAATAGTATTTGCTTCTATTCCCTCTGGTTGTTTTGTTTATTATGGGGGATGTACACAAAAACACTCAGCACTATATAATCATTTAAACAACCAAAGGGCACATGCTGCAAGCCTACCTCCTGGCTGCCAGTACACAGCCTTTCTCTTTCCATGAGTCTAGAGTCTTCAACTGCTCTATCTCTCCATGTCCTCATCTCTGCCTCCATCTCTGGTGCCACTGCTTCTCTGGATAGGGTTCCACATCCTGCTTGTGCTCTTCTCCCTTGATGGTCCTAGGGTCTACTGTTCCTGGACTGTAAGATTAGCTACTTCCCCCTTTTTGTTACAGAACTTCTTTCTACCTTTACAGTTGTGACAGTCACAATTAGTCATGATAACAATTGCTATTGAATCATAAGAATCTTATCCCCATCTCTTTTCACCAGACCTGTCTAGACAAGATGAATTATATTCAGTGGGGATTCTAGCTTCCCCCGCACACTCTGAAACTAAGCTCCCTCTTGAAAACTTGTAAGCCAGTCACTTTGTGCCTTTATAGTGCCCCTATTTTAGGTAGCCAAAGTAAGTTGCCTGCCCCCTCAACTCTGTATACAGAGGGGAAAGGATTGATACTCGATGTAAAGATTCTTTCCCTCTCAGTTGGTATTTTGAGTTTCTATATCCATAAGGTCTAATTCATCAAATTGTAGCAATTTACACTTGTTTCATTTATCAAAGACATTTTCTTTTTGTTTTTTTTTAACTTCCTCTAGAAGAATTGATACTTTTGAGTTATCGTGTTGGAGGAGAATATTGAAAGTTCTATGGGCTGCCAAAAGAACCAATAGCTCCATTTTGGAAGAAGTG